GTAAGTGAACAGAGGAAACACAGAGTCAATGAAAAGAGCAGAAGGAAACTCAGTTCAGAGTTATTGGCTCTTACAATAGGCGTAGATCTGTACCTGAAAAAAATAATAGATATTGCTATGGTAAAGCACATTCCAAGCACAGAACATACTGTTAAAATTATCCCCATTAATTCTGCAAATGACAAAAACTCTGTGCTTTTTAAGACACACTGATTTCGCTGTTCATTTGATCTGTAATCCACTGGACACTTTGAACACTCTGTTGAATCTGAAAATAAAATATTTTTTTAAATTAGTGGACAAACACAAATTAATCAAAGAACTCATCTAAACCTTGTGTGTTTTATCTTGCATTTTGAACATTCATTATCAATAGTTTAGTTTGAATTCATTCTTGGGTGAAGTAGAATAATACAATTTAGCTAAATTTAAATTAGATATTTCTGGACACCACTTAAAAACAGCAGAATTACTGACAAGAATATCACTTGTTTAACACATTCTGTACTTCTTAATACAAATTCTTATCTTTCATTAGATATTATTTTTGTTGTATAAAGATTTTAACTAGATAAAAAAATCTAGTTGAGAAAAAAAAATCTGTTTACAATTACAGCCTGGAGAGTTTTTATTTATACATCACTCTTTTTACTAGAGCAATTTGAGTGAAACATCATGCTTAAGGGTACAAACACAGCTTTTTATTGTCATGCTGTAAAAGTTAGTATTTTGTTAATGTGCATTAATTGTTTTAATTGCTACCTGAGATATTGCTGAACTCTCCCTCTGCACAGGGAATGCAGATGAAGCAGCAGACTGGCTTCCCTTTCTCAATGGCCTTACGAGTCCCTGGAAGGCAGCTCTCACTGCACACTGATCTTGGCACCTGGAAGATAGTGAGAGACAATTATGTTCTTTTGTTAAAAAGCAAGACTGGAGATTTGTTCAAAGTTAATATGCCAATTACAGCACTCAATAGCAATGTGGGCATTGTTGTTAAGTCAAATTAGTACACAAGTACACAACTGTATTTTAAAGAGGACATGCAGGTCAACGGTTTTTGAAAAAATAAAATACTGTAACAAGACCTCTCACTTTTGCACCCCAGGGACATTGGATAAGTTACTGTACAGTATGTGGTCATAAAACCTTTGGAGAGCTAACTCAATCACAACACCAATCTTGCAGAATTTCCTAATCAGTAGTTAACTGGAAGCTTTAAGTATAAGATTTATACTGCACTTTTGATTTATTTATATCCAACTAAATCAGAAACACACAAAGTAGAAGGGATTACCTGAGAATTGTAGCCATTGGATTTAGTGGAGGCTATGTTTCAAAACAAAAAAAATGAAATACTGAGTGAGAAACTTACCTCATCCTGATCTCCTGCCCAGACTACACTGATATCACTCATTATAAACTGTTGTCCTTCTGGTAAAGAAGCATCATATAGACCAATAACGTCAAATGTTGTGATTCCCTTCATGTTCCGCTGCCAATTAACTATTGCATATCGTGCTACTGGATCCCCATTGTCATCAAAATGCACCTTCTCTCCACTCCTAGTTGTGAAGTTGACTCTGGCCAAAGAGTGCAGCACCTAGAGGAAAACAAGCTAAAATCAGGTTCAGTTCTTTTCAGGTCAAATGCATGATATTATTTCGTATATAAATATATTTACCTGCCAAGGTTCTATTGTATTTATGTTTGCACATGTTTTATCAGTGTATCCTTGACTAATATTGCATGCGAAAAGATTGTGTAATGAATGGGCTACAGCATACACAGCTTTATACACATTGTTGGATATCCTCAGTTCTGATACATCCGTGTATTGGTTATTTATTCCATTCAGAGTCTCTGCTCCTGTGCATGGCTTAGTATGTGCATCCTTGCCAAGTGACAAACTGCAGTTGAAAATACTTTCCCAATACCCATTTAAACCAGAGTTTCCAGGGTTGCTTGATGGACGAGCATTTAAAATAAACTCTTTTAGTCCTGGTATTTCAGCATCTGGAATGGCAAAACCAATTGACCCTCCCAGAACATTATAACCTTCCTGTGATGCAAGGTACCTGTCTGTCACCCAAGCCTCACTCCCCACCCACTGGAAACCTGTGACATTCTGAATCACAAGTTCTTTCATCAGTAGATCCAAATCTGGACCAGAAGCAAAAGCAACAATTACTTTAGAAGATGACTTTTTAACAATATCTACAACATTAAGGAATTTCTCTCTACCATCAGTTCTAAAAATGGCCTCTGAATACTCAATACAGATCCCCTCCTGCTGGGCAGCTTGTACAAAGGTAGCCATCCCATTGTTGCCATAATCATTGTTAGTTCGAATGGCTCCAACCCAGGTCCATCCAAAGTGTTTCACAAGCTTTGCCAGGGCTCTGCTTTGGTAATAATCACTGGGAATCATCCTGAAGAAGCTGGGGAACTCCTTTCTGTTGCTGAGATAGGCAGAGGTAGCAAAGTGACTGATCTGCAGGAATGAAAAACAAGACATTATCTTAGATTGTAGGAGGAGATAAATGGCTTAATTGAGATTAAAAAGTTGAACTTGAAATAAACTTGAACTTGAAAATAACTAGGAAGGGAAACACAGGTGAAGTAGTCAGCATATACAAGATTATAATACATTCATAAATTTAAATTATATTTGAATGTTTACAGTATGAGTAAGTATGAGCATAGCACATACTGAAACTGTGTATGTGTGTGCTTCATACAAGATAATAGTATGACCTGCCCCTATTTAGTTCATCTTGCTATATTTCTTTACAGTCCTACTAATGTGCTACAAAGAACACATCAAAGCTTGGTCTCTTAATTTGAAGATTACATTTATTGGACTTATGAATGCTTGAAAGAAAAAAGATTAGCTTTGATTCCTTAATAATGCTTTTGTGATATAAAGACATCATATGATCGAGTAATTACATTAAAAATGCAATAATTTCTAAATTTACACTAAATTGAAACTGAATTTTTTATTTTAAAATTCCACTCAAGTTTAATTTTGTATTATTTAACATGGTACTTTTGAAATAAAATGTTCTCACCACTGGCATGTGAAAGGGTCCAACAGTTGCAGCCATTCCTATTGTTGGTGTTGAGCTAGAGTGTCCGATGATGGCGTGGACAGTTGATGGTTTGGTGCAAGACTGGTTTAACACAAGTCCTACTTGTTGGCTATTCATTAAATCCAGAGATGCCTTTATAGTCAAAGGGATAGAGCGACAGGAATCATATATCCTATAGCCCAGGGAAATATCAGGAAGAATCTCCAAACTGTTATTTATTTCTTCAATGGCAAAGATCATAGTTTGAGCAAATTGTAATTCTACAGGATTTAAACTGTGGAGCAAATACATACACATATTTCACAAATTGAACAGTATTTTTATCATTACATCTAACAGTATTCACATTTAAATATTATTTTGGCTGATTAAATCATACATTTTAAAATGCTTGCTTTAAAAATCAAGCACATAATCTGTTCATGTAGCTACAGTATTTTAGCTACTGTACATTTACATGTATTTTTATTTTTAAAAATAATGATAATGGATCAGTTACCTTTCACATCTGATGTGTCCTGGGTTTACTTCAAATGTTGGATTTACAACAACAGGGTTTTTATGGATTGAAAAAACAGCTCCTATTGTAATGTCCCCTTCTTTTGAAAACTGTAGCAGTTCTTGTGTTCTGTATGGCTGGCAAATAGGCTTTTCAGCACTTGTCAAAACCATAATTAATGCTACTGCTACAAGCAGCAACATTGTAAAATGTGTGTTGTCCTAAAGACAGAGTACTTCAGCTCAAGGTGTTTATATACGGCTGTGTATTTCTTACATGTTAAAATTAGCAATGAACCAGAGTTCAAACGCACATTGTAGCATCAATTCTCAGTGGTGATCTCAATGTTATGATCACCTCAGGAGAAAAAATTGTTTTGAACATCTGTTTTGAAAAAGTTTTGAACATCTGCTTCTACACACATTGTTTGTGCATAGTGTATTTCTCCAGGATTTAAACTGTGGAACAAATACACTCACAGAAAGAAAGAATTAGCATTTAATGATTTTGGGACAACTGAGAAATCAAGTTTAAAGAGGCCATTTTTATTAAACATTATAAAGCAGTGTACAGACATAATTTAAATGAAAAGACCATACACATTATATAACATACATATACATAAATCATGCTAATATTTGTTTTTTTTTACATTAGCATCATTTTGATTTTTATGTATTGAACAAGTCATTACAATCTATATTGTGTATACTCTGTACAATTTTATACAATGTAACCATGATTGTTTTTATGTGTGATACAATTACAGAAGAACTGAGGTACAAGTAACCTGTTGTTTTTTATAGTTCTATTAGATAACTTTACCCAGAATTAATAGACCAGTCCCTATATCCTTGACATTATTTAACTATTTATCCAGGTAGAGTAAAATAGGATGAATGAAGCAAGTTTTTCTACTTGCTCTCTAGTTATATAGAGTGTAACACAATGCAGGCAGCAGTTGGCATCAGTACTGAGGATGGACTAAGGAAGACACTTGAAAAAATAATTTAAAAAAATACAAGCAAAATAAGTGTGCTAAAATGCATCAAAAGACTAAAAAAGTAGAGTTAAAAGTGTAATCGTAAATATTGACTACAGACTAATACATTAGTTGTATCTCTTATGGTCCATCTTAACTCTATTCTCTTTGTAAATGTTTTCTGACCTACTCAGACTTGATTTCTATTACCTTACAGGACTTTTTAAAGGTGTAGTATTTTCTTTCTATGGTGAAGAACATTTGTTTTTCTGATGCAGTTTTTTGGTTGATCTTTAGCAGTCAGTGGCTCTGCAAGCTGAAATGAATAACAAAACAGCCTCACAAGCACAGTCGATACATGAATACATGGCTACACTGAACTAATTAACCCCAATTAGGGTGAAAGAAGTTTGTTTGCTAAATGTTTTGACTGCTTGTTCACTAATGCTGCCATCAGTAATGGACGTCCACATTATCAGACTGCACAACAATTAATTAATATCTTGCCATTATCTTGAGTTGTATAGAGTGTAATATTGCACATTACTAATAATACATAATTCTACATAATATCATTCAAAAGTTGAAGAAATTGCTTCATTCTTTCTTTCTCTTTCTTCTATTAAGCTAAGAAATAATAATATAATATTTAATTATTAAATTTTCAGTGTAACAGTAATACTGTATCTAAATATAATTTCTTTCAAGATTGCATATCTCAACTAAAAGAAGAAAGCATTATTTTTTATTAAAATGTATTCTTATAACAATATCACTTAAAGTATAAAAGAAATCATACCTGTCACACCAATAATGTTTTACATTGTTTCTTAAGATGGAAACAGAAACTGGTGAGTTTTCCTATTTTGGAAATATCTTATAAAAAATCCACTTGGCTTTTGAGATTACTTTCTGTTCATCTTTGCGGATGAGTGTATAGATTCCCCTACATTTCAGATACAATCATCTCTGGGCTAGGAAATCATAAAGTGTTCTTCTCTGTTATGAACAAGATCATTAAATTCCCTAACAACTCTGCTTTGTCTTAAGGTTTTGCAATTCTTTCAGTCCAAGATTGATGCTATCAATCTACAATTTTCTGAATCAAACTGTAACCTTATTCCTGATTGGAGCAACTGTTCGAGGCCTGAATTTTCCATTGAACAATCCCTCAGTACCAGATTTTTCTGAATTCAGCTTAGTTTATTCAGATCAACTTGCAAACATTAATGACAGTTGCAAAACAAATTCTTGTTCCCATTCCCACCCCTTTACTGAAAGTTGCCTTTCTGACTCTGCCTGTTAGTGATCAACATCATCAATAGTTCCTATGGTATGGCCCCCATTGCTTTAAAAACTGTATTAGTCACTCTTATACTTAAGAGTATAAAAAGCTTCTCTTGGATTCTAATATTAGGATGAACTACAGACCAATTTCTATTTTACTATTCCTATCCTATCTGAGATTACAGGCTCATACGATGGCTCACACTACAGTCCACATGGGTTCTAATGACCCAGTATAGTGATGAGTATATACTGTAAAATTGCACCGTCCTTCAGACAAGACGTAAAACCATGGTCCTGCCTCTTTTAAAATCGGGGAGTTTCTCAGAAAAAGAGTAGGGGTGTACCCCGGCACCCTGGCCAAATTTCCCATCGGTCTCCTAATAATCCCCATCTATGAACTGTGTCATTACTGTGTTCTCCTCCACCCTGAGTGGTGGTGTGTGGTGATCATACTGACGCACGTTGGCTGCCATCGCATCATCCAGGTGGGGCTGCACATTGCTGGTGGTAGACAGGAGTCCCCATTGCCTGTAAAGCGCTTTGAGTGGAGTGTCTAGAAAAGTGCTACAGTATACAGTATACAATAAGTGTAAGGAATTCATATTATTAACCCCAGTCAATCATGATGTGCCTCAGGGTTCACTCCTGGGCCCATTGCTCTATATTTTTTATACGTTTCATCACGGTCAGATTGTATGCAAACATAGTCTTCAGTTTCATTCTTATGCGAATATTCTCAGATTTACGTTAAAATGTTTTTTTCACCTCTGACCTCCTACCTCTGTAGCTTATCACTTGCACGTGTGACATCAAACTCTGGTTGGCATTTCCCATCAATGTCTAATGCTGAACGCCCGATTCGATAATGTAATAATGTTAATTGATGTAATACATTTAGAACATCAAGGCCTGATTTCTCCAACTCTTTACTCTATGGGCTCCCTAACTCACTTCTCAACAACTTGTAATACGTTCAGAACTCTGCAGCCAGACTACTTACTCACACCAGACCCTGGGAGTATATCACTTCTACACTGAAGTCTCTGCATTGGTTGCCTATAAAGTCACTCCATATAAGACCTTTTAAGGCTTTAAATAATGTGGTTCCATCATACTGTATATCTCTGAAATTCTCCATGTTCACCCTCCCTCCTGTAGGCTTCATTCAGTTGATTATGGTCCTTGACTCATTGTATCGTAGGATCAATTTCAAACTTTTTTTTCTGTTGCTTCTACTTTGATATGGTCATCCAACTCTTTGAAAGACAAATGTGTTGACTCTCTTCAAATCTAAACTCAAAACTCACCTTTTACTAGGGTCTGTGTCTGTTTGCCCTAAATTCTATCCTGTATGTTCATGTTTATTTTTGCTTTTAGTTTTTTTTTGTACTTTTTGTCTTTTTGTGTGTCACTATGTACAGTGTCCTTGAGTTATTCAAATATTTAGTCCTCGTGTGTTGAATATACAGTATGTACACAGAATTGTAATGTGCTTTAAAACAGAAATTAATACATTTTAAATGTGGCTTACAATGCTTTTGAAGGCATCTTCCGCATTAAATGCTTTTTGCTATTTTTTTCAGGTTTTAATAAAATAATAAAACATTTTGGCATAAAAATACAGAACAGTAAACCGAAGCTCGAAGCTAAAATAGCAAATATTTCCACAGCCACTGTGAACTTCCCTGGAGAACTAACATATGCTGGGATAAAGGTGATCCAGACAGCACAGAATATGAGCATGCTGAATGTAATGAATTTGGCTTCATTGAAGTTATCAGGCAGCTTCCGAGCCAGGAAAGCAAGCACAAAGCACATGGCAGAGAGGAATCCTATATACCCTAACACAGCCCAGAATGCTCCTGCAGATCCAAGGTCACACTCCAGAATGATTCTATCTGCATAGTAATTCATATTTGTGTTTGGAAAAGGAGGTGATATTATCAACCAGAGACCACAAATCAATACCTGTACAAGTGTGAAAGCAAGAACACTTAACCGCTGCTGTGTGGGTCCAAACCATTTCATGATGTTATTGCCTGGCAGTGTAGCCCTAAAGGCCATTAACACCACTATTGTTTTCCCCAGAACACAAGAGATGCACAGGACAAATGTGATCCCAAATGCTGTGTGGCGCAACATACAGGACCAGTCAGAGGGCTGGCCAATGAAAGTAAGTGAACAGAGGAAACACAGAGTCAACGAAAAGAGCAGAAGAAAACTCAGTTCAGAGTTATTGGCTCTTACAATTGGGGTAGATCTGTATCTGAAGAAAACAACAGCTATTGCTATCGTTAGGGAAGTTCCAAATGCAGAGCATGTGACTAATAGTATTCCCATTAATTCTCCATAAGACAGAAACTCAATGTTTTTCATTATACACTGATTGCGATGCTCAGTTGATCTGTATTCCAAAGGGCATTTAGAACACTCCACTGAATCTGGAAAATGATAATAAAGCAAAAAAAAATTGACTGATCAATTCTTTGTGGGTTTACTTCCTCTGCAAAAAAATTGAAATTAACATTTTAGCTATGATTATCCTTATATGGTTCTTTTCTTTTCTGATTTGTTTTGTTTAGATTTTATATGATTATGCTGAGAATGTGGATCAGTCCCTTATGTTTAAAATCTGAGTACAAACTCAATGAAAGGCAAATTAACCCATATTCCCGATGTTAATACCTTACCTGTAGTGTTGCTGAACTCTCCCTCTGCACAGGGGATGCAGACAAAGCAGCAGACTGGCTTCCCTTTCTCAATGGCCTTACGAGTCCCTTGAAGGCAGCTCTCACTGCAGACTGATCTTGGTACCTGCGACAATATACTGTAAATATGACACTGAGACACAATGTTTACAGTCAGTCGTATACTGTATGATGCAATTTTATCTATTCTATGTGATTGTATGTGTGTTTATAAGGTCAAATCATTAGTACAGTGATTCTGAGTCAGAATATTATATAATTAAAGTGAAAATAAAAACGTATGGTTATAAATACAGCCCCACAATACCTGTTTGAAAGAATTTTTAAAATTGTTGAAAATATTCTAACTTATTTTTGACTGATGTTGTGTGCACTGCTTGATACAGTCAGCACAGGGTACATGAATGTTAAGTTGTTCTTCTTAAAATAGGTATTTAAGTGCTTATGATGAAAATACTTTGAAAATTCTGGTATTCGTAATCTTTTTTTATTTGCTTGATGCACCAAATAGATATGGCGATTTGCTCATGTATACTGTACATAGATCTTAATGAATTTATCTTTCTATACTGAAAAGTGTTGAATCACAACAAATAATTATTTACACCAATAGTGTACAGTATGTTGTATTTTGATATCTCTTGATTATTTGCTTATCCATAATGGCTGTGAATGTTAATTAACTCTCTTCCTATCACAACAAATGAGGTCTCAGAACATAGGAGACAGTACTGTACTTCTAATGATGCCTTGAATTGGGTGAGTGAATGTTTCTGTCCTTCTGTCACATCTGTTAGTGTCAATTTGCTGGTCAATACCTTACCTTACTGTGATTACCTGCCCATACAATACTGGCATTGTTTATTATAATTTGGTGTCCTTCTGGTAATGAGGCATCATACTGTCCAATAATCTCAATAGTTGTAATCCCTTCCTTATTCAGATGCCAGTTTACTACTGCATATCGTGCTACTGGATCCCCATTTTCATCAAAATACACCTTCTCTCCACTCCTGGTTGTGAAGTTAACACTTCTCATGTAATGTAGCACCTACAGATAAACATTTGTCCATCTTTATATTGTTAGAATATTACAATAAACTTCAACATTTTGCAATAAAAAGCAGATTGTCCATTATTTAAAGTATTTATTTCTCTTACCTGCCAAGGTTCTGTTTTGTATTTGTTTGCACATGTGAGATTTTGAAATGGTCCATTGCCACTTTTGCATTCAAACAAATTGTGCAATGAGTGAGCTATAGCGTAGACTGCATTGTACATATTGTTTAGCACGCCCATGTCCGATATATCAGTGTACTGGTTATTAAGTCCTGCTAATGTCTCTGTTCCTGTGCATGGCATAATATGTTCCTCCTTGTTAGGTGTTAGGCTACAATTGAAAATACTCTCCCAAAGCTCATTTAAGCCAGCATTTCCAATAGTTTTTGATGGACGTGTATTTAGAATAAATTCTTTCAGTCCTGGTATCTCTGCATTTGGAATTGCAAAGCCAATTGCTCCAGCCAGGACTTTATAACCTTCTTTTGATGCAAGGTATCTCTCTGTAATCCACGCCTCAGTGCCAACCCACTGGAGGCCTGATACATTCTGTATCAACAGTTCTTTTATCAATAGATCTAAATCAGAATCGGCTGTAAAAGCAACAATTACCTTTGAAGATGATTTCCTAATGATTTCTACAACTTTAAGGAATTTCTCTCTAGAATCAGTTCTCAGAATGGCTTCTGAGTATTCAGTACAGATCCCCTCTTGCTGAGCTGCTTGTATAAAGGTAGCCATCCCACTGTTGCCATAATCATTATCACTTCTAATGGCCCCAACCCAGGTCCATCCAAAGTGCTTCACAAGCTTTGCAAGGGCTCTGCTTTGGTAATAATCACTGGGGATTGTCCTGAAGAAGCTGGGGAACTCCTTTTTGTTACTGAGACAGGAACATGTAGCAAAGTGACTGATCTGTAATAGTAAAAAAGAAAAGATGAAAACATGAATCACGGTCATTATTTGAGGTTGGCTGTTATTTTATGACTGTGCTGATTTAACAATTTAACGTGCTCTGTGGCACTTTCACAATTGTTACCATACAAAATAGCATTTTAAGTGAGCTGAATTACAGTTTAAATACAAAACTGGGATTTGATCATTGAAAAATACCAAAAAAAGTGTTTGTTAGATTTAAAAAAGTAAATAAGATTTATATTCTAAAAGATATCTGTTCTGATAATAATTTAAATTTAAATCTTTTGTCCCATAACTGCGTTAAATGAGAACATTGCGGATTCTACACTCCACCTAATTCTTAAGTTCTAATAATGACTTTTACAAGACACATTTATTTACCTTCTTGCATAATACAATACATTTAAAATATAGATTTTTTAATGTAATTTACCATGAATCTGGAAGTGTCTCATGTACAGTATGGGCGAGGGTGCAGTTAAACTAGAATACTATGGTTTATAAGGGAACAAGTAATAGGTTTATTCCATGCTGAAAAGAGAGGAAAGAAAACACAACATTTCGGCTGTGGAGCCTTCTTCAGGTGTAAGAAGTACTTTGGGTGCTTCTTACACCCAAAGAAGGCTTCACAGCCGAAACGTTGTGTTTTCTTTCTTTACTTTTCAGCATGTAATAAACCTATTACTTGTTCCTTTGCAGCCTACGCATGCTGAAGCAGCTACCCACCTGAACTAAAATGGTTTATGTCTGCAGCAGGCTTAATATTATCAGTAGATAATAATTGATAAAGATTGTTTGCTTGTTCAATTAAAAGATAGCTGATGGAGACAATATTGTTTTCAATTTAGTCTGTTAATTTAAATAAAGGTTTCTTACCACTGGTATGCGAAATGGTCCGACAGTTGCTGCAATGCCTATTGCTAGTGTTGAACTAGACTGCCCTATGATGGCGTGGACAGTCGAGGGTTTGGTGCAGGACTGGTTTGATAGAAGTCCTTCTTCATGCCCATTCATTAATTCCAATGATACTTTTATAGACAGAGGTATGGAGCGACAGGAATCATATATCTTATAGCCCAGGGTAACATTAGGAAGAATATCTGATCTGTTATTAATTTCTTCAATGGCAAGGATCATAGCTTGAGCAATCTGTAACACTCCAGGATTTAAACTGTAAGAAAAAAAGCTCACAGTTTATTATTATTATTATTTTCATTTTTCAGCAACAGTAGTACTTGTGTCATAAACTGTAATCGAACCTTATCTTACCTTTCACAGATGATGTGACCTGGATTGAGTTTAAATGTTGGATTCACAACAACTGGGTTTTTATGGATTGAAAGTATTGCTCCTATTGTGATGTCTCCATATTTTGAAAACTGAGGCACTTCTTGTGTTCCATATGGCTTGCAAATAAGCTTTTCAGCTCTTGAAAAATGAGCGATTAGCAGCACTTTTGCAAACAGCAGCATTGCAAAATAAAGTGTGGTCTGTTGTTTCTTCCTGCCAGGATCCAAAATGCATCACCAGCTCTTACTGTATATAGAGTGCAGCTCTCATGCTTTAGATTAAATGATGATCAGTCTCTCCCCTAAGCATCAATTCTCAAAGGTTTTTAGTGTTTCTTCTGCCTGGGGAAAAAGAGCATATCTTAAAGTTCAGTAGATAAATATGTCATTGGTTTGTTTGTCTGTGCATGCATGAATTTGTTACTATCATGCTTAAGAAAAACAAAATAGTTCTGTCAAGCAGAATGTGTGTCAGATCTTTCAAAAGTAATGTATTGTAAAATTTGATTTAAATGCAGGTTATATACCGATTAAGAAGACTGAGTAAATCAGCTTATTTTCACATCACCAAAGAGGCATGCTGTCTGCTATCTTAAGTATATTTTTACAGCACTGTTTCAAGTCAAAAATATTTTTGAATGTGTAGGAGTTTCATATTGTGTATTTAGGGGAGTACTTGCATCATTTAATATACCATAATTATTGATATACTGTACTATGTTCTGTTTGTTTCTTTCATTTCAATCTTTTGCCCACTTCTTGTTAATATAATAATATACTACTAATAATAATAATAAACATTTATTTTGTGTAGAACCTTTAAAAGTGGCTTCTCCAACTAATTTATAGACAGCAAAATTACACAATAACAATGAGGGTTTGGAATACAGTAGGAAGGCAAGGGGGCAAATAAAGAACCAGCTAAATAAAAGACTTTCTAAAGAAGAAGGTTTAGAATCTTGATTTAAAATGCTCAGGGAAGCTCTGGAATTCTATTCCTACAGACTAATATCTGTAGGAATAGAATTCCCGACCTTTGGTGAACAGCAGGAGAAGGCCCTGTCACCCATAGTATGTAGACAGGCTTGGGGGATGGACAGGAGACCAGGATTAGTTGAATAGAGGTTGTGAGGTGGGGGGAAGGATGATGGTAAGTCAGATCAGTGCCAAGCCATGTGTAGCCTTTTAGGTGAGCATGAGGTTTCATGGTGTGTTAATGCACTACATATACTATACATCTTTTTGACAGCACGTAGGAGAACGTGGCAGTTTCGAGCATCACATTTTACTTTGGTATGTTCAACTTCAGACCCATCTTTTGTCCAGCCAGCAACCTGAGGTTTTCTCATTGGCTTCATTAGAAGAGTCTCACAAAGGACACAGTGAGCCAACCCTGGATGTAGATGAGGATGTAGTGATTTATAATCCCAACAATTTAACATTACTCCTTTATACGTGTGTATAAATATGTGTATATGTACAGTATTTGCACAGATGCAGTCACTCAGAACGCGTAGTATTTCTTCCAAATATGGTAAAAGTAGTGCAGTACATTGTAATTGTAATAGTGTACTGTATGTAATTCACTGTCCATAAAAAGATCACTAGGTGGCACTTGTGGAAATGTAAGTGAAACGATGAATAATAATTCAACAGTTATTCTGTTTCTCTGCTGTGCATGTTTAAATCCACTTAATTTGGAAAACTAATATGGAATTTTACAACTAAAGGGACATTTTGAAAGCCAAAAATAAAAACAGAAGTATAACATTATATATACCTAATGTAACACAAACTTAAGCACAAGTAATCAGGAAACAATTTAACTTTAAATTTTGATTATGCAAAATATTTTTAATGCATATGGTAATGTAGTGGCTTTTAAATGTTTTTATTTTGTATTCATAGAAAAGGATAAAAGATTTTTATGAAGTATATAAACCTTGTATAGTTAGAACATGCACATCAACACTTTTCCAAAATAACCATTGTAAATAACCACACACTACTTTTTAAGCTCAGCGCTGGATTTTGGAGCCCAAGTCAGGTTTAGGACGAATGATTTTTTGCTCCTACAGTATGTGAATTTTTTTTTCTGAAACTCTCTGGGGCCTGGAAGACGCGGTACACCGCGCCATAATTGTATTCTAAAACTGAGTCTGTTGGATCAAATTTGTAACCAAGCACTACTGAATCTCATTCAAATGCAAGTGCTTCTATCTGTGGTCCTGATTGTTTCCCACTCATACTTTCATGTTTGGGGAACTCCAATGCTCAGAGTAGTTCAGATATAGATCATGGAAATGCTCAATTGACACTCCAGCTAGGGTTTGGGTTAACATTCATGCACTACTTAGACAATTGTTAAACTCAGTGCTGGATTTTGGGGCCTAAGTCAGGTTTAGGATGAGTAAAATCTATGTGATTTTTTTTTTCAAAAACTCTCTGGGGCTTGGTTGGAGCGGTACACTGTGCTGTAATTTTATCCTAAAACTGAGTCTGTCGGACCAAAAGCTGTAACCAAGCATTATTGAATCTCATTCACATGCAAGAGCTTTGATCAATGGTCTTGATTGTTTCCCAGTTAAAGACTTTGATGCATACAATGTTTATGAAGATGTTGGGATACTGTGTGCACTTAGTTTTTTTTATATTTAGCCACCAGTACCATCTACTGTAAGTACATTAGGTATATACTGTATTACGTACTGTATGAGACTATATGGCTTTAAAGCCACTACAGTAAAGTATGTGTGAAATATATTTTTTTATAATCGAAATTTAAAGTTAAATTATCCTGATTACTTGTTGCTGAAATTTGCATTAAGACACAATATAGATTATTGTAAAGTGGATATAAAACTGAAAGAAGCACACAGTAAAATAATAAACTACTTTTCATATATCGAACTGAGTAATGTTGTTTTTGTAAAATAGCCCTACCTTCTTTTTAAATTAATTTAATATTTAACATACACAGATGAAGTCTAAATTCTATAATTAGAAATGTCCCTCAACGTTGACTGGGATTTGATACCAGGTGTTTTCTGGCGACAGCCTAAATGCTTCTACACGCCACATTAAGTTTTCACTGCTCTGTGGTGCCTGAGGTGTGCATAGCACAATGTACTGCATTATCTGGCATACATTCTTAATGTATGTGAATATCAATATGTAAGTCTAGGTGTCACATAATCTTCCCAATGTTACCCTGGGCTATAAGATATAAGATTCCTGTCACTCCTGTCTATAAAAGTATCATTGGAATTAATGAATGGGCATGAAGAAGGATTTCTATCAAACCAGTCCTTCACTAAACCCTCGACTGTCCACACCATCATAGGACAGTCTAGTTCAACACTAGCAATAGGCATTGCAGCAACTGTTGGACACTTTTGCATACCAGTGGTAAGAAACCTTTATTTAAATTAACAATACTAAACTTAAAACATATTTGTCTCCAAGTATGTGTTGTCAATGTGTATATCTTGTCTGTGTATGTGTTGTCTTTGAGTATATCTGTGTGTTGTGTACAGTATGTGTATGTCTATTTCTGCATGCACCCTTTCCCCTGGCTACGCTAGACTTGAGTGATGCAATTATGAATTTACATTTTAAAAAAACTTCTGCGGGTTCCGTAATTCAAGGGGAGTTTAAGTTACACATGTAAAGAACAAGTGGTGTGGCAGGAAGCTTCTGTGGATAAAAAGATGAAGTTACCGTATAGACACACAGCCTCCACCAGGACTCCGCCTCAGTTTTCCACTTCAGTCTTGCTTTGCCTTTGCACACAAGTTGTGACTTTTGCATATTATCTTGTGCTTTTGCATTGAAAATTGAGATTAATAAAAATATATTGCAATCACGTCAAGGAAGCACCCAACTGACTTATTATTTTTATTACTTACTGTGTGTTTTATGTTTAGTTGCACAACTTGTAGGGTCAAGAATTACACGTTTTATTAATTGTTAAAAGGTAATTCTAATTCTGTTGTATATTTGTAAGCGTATTCAATATTTTGTGTTTAATTATTCTAATAATAGGATTCTTAATGTTTTTTTTTTCATTCATCATTATTTTATTTCTCTTCCCCTGTCTAAACAGAGGAAATTCCCTTTCTCTATCTACAGGACCTCATGGACTTTCAGTTTCTGTCTTCCCTCTGCTGAGCACGCCCACCCATTAAACATTAAAGGACAGTAAACCCTGCAGAGCCTGCAAATCCGCTCTGCCATCCTTCCTTCCTCGCTCACAGTCACAGCTAAGACATCCCTGCGGTATCATGAATGGCATTTCTCTGCAGGTGTTCACACAATGGTTAAAAATCGGTCACTTTGAATTTATCCAAAGTTCAGGTTATGTAAAGCCTTGTGGAACCCAACACCCAGGGAGTGGGTGTACATGTGTATGCATTGTGCTACAGTATATTCAGTGTGTTATACCACAAGATGTCTCTTCCTTGGTGACCCTCATTCCGTTATTTCCCCTTGCCATCTGTCTACTCCTTAACTAACACACAGCAGAGATGGTGAGCTTGGATTTTCATGTTTTAAAATACTTTTTTATTCTGGCCAACTGAACCGGAGGAAGGTCAGGACGAACTACTCCTGTCACAAACCCACAAACTGAGGCTGTTAAAGTGTGAGAATGGGTTTTCTGTCCCAGTAATTCATTTCAGTAGAACTCTGTCCCTAGTATCACTCTCCCACGCGCAATAAAATTCTATAATTTAAAAATAAATACACACAGTAGATACCTTATGACAGTAATTCTTACTTGGCCATTGATATATACAGTATTTATATATTTAGGTGGGTAGCTGCGTCAGCATGCGTAGGCTGCAAAGGATAATAGGATTCACACCTGAAGAAGGCTCCACGGCCGAAACGTTGTGTTCTCTTTCTTCTTTTTTTCAGCATGGAATAAACCTATTACTTGTTCCTTTGCAGCCTACGCATGCTTGCATTTATATATTTATATGTGGAACAAGCTATAACTTTGTGAGCGTAAGAAGGCGTTCTTCTCACTGTTAGTGCATTGCCATCAATATATGCAATATATGCATTATATGTGAATTAATTAATCTTAATGTTTTTTAGTATTAAACACTCAATCCTGGCAGGACCAGCCAGCACCAGCCCATCCGATCTCAGCAGTCATGGGTGCAATTATTTCACCTTCCCTAGGGGAATCCCAGAAACTTAAGGAGATATTTCATGCTCAAGGCACTGACTTGTGAATTAATAGGCTCGGCCTGCACTCATAAGAAGTGCAAATGCCTTCACTTATTAAGTCACAGTTACTTTTGTTACTTTATTGTTTTATTTTATGGTAGAATATACCAGATTAGCAGCAGCTGTATCTGTAGTATACATGCATTCCGCAAAATGCATGGAAAAAACTTCACTCCAGATTACTGTAAGCTTTTTGAAAAATCTGACATGTTCTTTTATTTTTATTATTATGTGATAAGAAGTCAAAGAATGGTTAATTTGACTATTTTCCTTCTCAGACAAAATGGTCACAAGTAAGAGAACACTGTTCCAGGCACATATTCTGATGATATTCTGAATATATTTATGTTATGATTATTTAGAGAACAACTAAAACATTAAATAGGGAAAATATCCACTAAACAAATAGACATTGGAGGAAGTTATTTTTAATAAAAAACAATACTTACTGCTATTACATTTTATTTTTTAATTAAAAGTGATATAAAGTAACTTAAACTATTTAAATGTTGGAAGTTTAATATTCAACTCAGACTTACAGTGATTTTGAGGGCATTTTACTCATCAAATATTTTTTAGTGTTTCTCTCTGGCTTTAATAAAATAACATAACACTTTGGCATAAAAATACAGAAAAGTAACCCAAAGCTTGAAGCTAAAATGGCAAATATCTCCACAGCCACTGTAAACTTTCCAGGGGAGCTGATGTACGCTGGGATAAAGGTGATCCAGACAGCACAGAATATGAGCATGCTGAATGTAATGAATTTGGCTTCATTGAAGTTATCAGGTAGTTTTCTAGCGAAGAAGGCGAGCACAAAGCATATTGCAGAGAGGAACCCTATATATCCTAACACAGCCCAGAATGCACCTGCAGATCCCAGATCACACTCCAGAATGATTCTTTCTGCATAGTATTTCATGTTCATGTTAGGAAAAGGAGGAGACATTATCAACCAAAGAACACAAATCAAAATTTGTATGAGCGTGAAAAAAAGAACACTTAACCGCTGCTGTGTGGGCCCAAACCATTTCATAATGTTATTGCCTGGCAGTGTAGCCCTAAAGGCCATTAACACCACTATTGTTTTCCCCAGAACACAAGAGATGCACAGGACAAATGTGATCCCAAATGCTGTGTGGCGCAACATACAGGACCAGTCAGAGGGCTGGCCAATGAAAGTAAGTGAACAGAGGAAACACAGAGTCAATGAAAAGAGCAGAAGGAAACTCAGTTCAGAGTTATTGGCTCTTACAATTGGAGTAGATCTGTATTTGAAAAATATATTTGCTATAATTATGGTCAGACAGGCTCCAAATACAGAAAATGTAACTAGAATTATTCCCATTAATTCTCCATAAGATAAATATTCAATATTTTTTAAGATACACTGATTTCGCTGTTCATTTGATTTGTATTCCAAAGGGCATGTAGAACACTCAATTGAATCTGAAATTAGAAAATGTGACAAAATTAACTACTTCAATTTTAATTCAGAGAAAATCAGAATTTCACTTCTCTTTATTAATTACAGTACTTTTATTTTGTCAGCCTTTTCATAGCAAATTATTTCTCTTTCATTGTTCCAATTACTTGTATACATTTTATACTGTATATTTGGAATAACATGTCTTGTGTGTTAAGCTTACCTGTAGTGTTGCTGAACTCTCCTTCTGCACAGGGGATGCAGACGAAGCAGCAGACTGGCTTCCCTTTCTCAATGGCTTTACGAGTCCCAGGAAGGCAGCTCTCACTGCAGACCGATCTTGGTACCTGTAAGAAAGTGTTGTTTCATAATTGCATTCAAAACAGGATTGATATTAACCATACAGTATATTGTAACTACAGTTGTATATGGATTAATATATACAGTACTACCCAGTAGCATTTTCCTTTCTTTAAGGTACTGTACAGTAGCTACACTAGGATAGAGTTGTCATAGTGTGCTGTACTACTGTATGTTGTACACTTTAGCATGTTTCCATTTCCTTCACTGTGCTTTCACCTTGATTTCACTCTGCTAAATTGGACATTGGTTTCCTTTTACCATAATTACATACTGTATATGATTTTAAGGAGGATAACTTAAGATAACAGTCAATTTTCACTGAATATGAAAATTTAGAAGAATACTTACCTTATTATCATCACCTGGCCATACAACCTTTGCATTGTTGATTTCAAATTGCCCTCCTTCTGGTAAAGAGGCATCATATTTACCAATTATTTTAAATGTTGTGATACCTTCCTTGTTATACTGCCAGTTTATTATGGCATATCTGGCTACTGGATCCCCATTTTCATCAAAATAGATATGCTCCCCATTTCTGTTTGTGAAGTTAACTCTTGACATATAATGTAACACCTGCAGTACGTAAAAAAATAAGTGACGGTTATGTTGATAATGTTCTGCAAAGCATTTGGACACCAATCATTTCAGAGTGGCACGACAGCATCCTGGTACCCCATAGCTTTTGGCTCCTGGATTCAGCTACAGACTGGGACACCTTCTCAGTACAGTGTGTGCCTATTTCTTTACATTTTCAGGTGCTCAGGTTTCCTCTAACTTTCCAAAGGACCTCCTTGTTCCTGTCTAATGATCCCTCTGTGTGCTCAGTGATGGACTGGCAACCTGTCCAGGGTGTAGTTCTGCTTGTAATGGACTGGGGTCCTGTCCACTTTCTTCCACTTTTTGATAGTGGATGAGGTGAAAATATTTTAAGTTAAAACGACTTTTATTTAAATTGCTACAGTACAGTGCTGCCCACAGAAGCTGTGGGTAGAAATTATATAGTTTTTTATATGTTTTATTATATGTTTTTTTCAGTAAAATGTAACTGTCATTTCCACCAAGAAGGACAAAATTAAATAATTCAACAAAGCTCTTTTTGAAAACAAAGTTGAAAACTATTGTTTTTCATGTTCTGCTTTATATTTTAAAAGAATGAAATGTTAAAAGGAAATAAGCAGGTGATAATATTTTAATATGTATTATTCTTAAGAAGTTAAAATTCACAAATATAGGCATATTTGAAGACTGTAAATGTAATTTTTAAAACCCGTTTTGTAAATCACAAAGTATTAAAAATAGTAATACTGCAGCTGTTCACATCAGAACATTGCATTTACTTTTGAACATTTATAAAATATAAGAAAACTTACCTGCCACGGTTCTAGTTTAGTTTTGTTTGCGCAGGTTTGATTTTCAAAAGGCCCTTCTCCATTTTTACATGCATAGAGGTTATGCAATGAGTAAGCAAAGGCATATACTGCATTGTAGATGTTATTCAGTATCCCCATGTCTGAAATCTCAGTGTACTGATTACTTATTCCTTCCAAAGACTCAGTTCCTGTGCATAAATTAACACTATAATTTGTCTGGGATGTTAGGTTACAACTGAAAGTGGTTTCCCAAAATTCTTTTAAACCACTGTTTCCAGGTGCATTTGAAGGACGAGCTTTTAGAATAAATTCTTTCAGCCCGGGAATTTCAGTATTTGGAATTGCAAAGCCAATCACTCCCGCTAGGACTTTCTGTCCTCCGTTAGATGCAAGGTATCTCTCTGCAATCCACGCCTCACTGCCCACCCACTGGAGGCCTGTGACATTCTGAATTAAAAGTTCCTTTACCAGGATATCTAGATCTGCATCAGCTGTAAAAGCCACAACAACCTTTGCGGTTGATTTTTTAACAATATTTACGACTTTTAGCAATTTCTCCTTTGGTTGAGTTCTATAAATGGCCTCTGAATATTCTATACAGATCCCCTCCTGCTGGGCAGCTTGTACAAAGGTAGCCATCCCACTGTTGCCATAATCATTGTAACTTCTAATGGCCCCAACCCAGGTCCATCCAAAGTGCTTCACAAGCTTTGCCAGGGCTCTGCTTTGATAATAATCGCTTGGAATTGTCCTGAAGAAGCTGGGGAACTCTTTTCTGTTACTGAGACAGGCACAGGTTGCAAAATGACTTAGCTACAGGAAAAAAAAGATGGAAAATGGAAGAACTCAATATTAGTCATCACAGGCTTCTGTAAGGTGAATACTTTCATATAAATATTAAAATAAATGAGACTGTTGTCTACTTATTGAAACAATCTAAAAAACCTGGCATGCCAAATGTAATATAATATATATTATAAGATAATATAGATCAATTTTCTAACTGCTCAATCCAATTCATGGCTGTGATATATTTAAATATATATATATTAAAGTAATTTACACAGTAATGAGAAAATGTCAATGCAGAGATATAACAGAAATATTTTCCTTTATTCATTTACTAGTGATCTTTGTCTATAATAATCAATACTGATGCTCAGGATAGGAAAATAAAATGAGCTTAACTTTTTGTTCTTTCCCAAATATCTCTGCTTATGAAGCAGATATGTGGTTGAATAAAAAAACAGAATAATATATTCAGGTTTGCCGGATAACAATGTCACTGTCAATTCTATTAGTGCATCAATACATTATTTAATTTAGTTTACACTAACTGAACATAAGAACATAATATGTGTTTTTTGTGAAAGTGTAATATCTTGGAAGTAAATAGACAATATGCTGTATTATTAATCTTATCTGTAATAAATACATTTTTTTTAATTTGGCCAGAACATACACTTGCAAAAACATAGGGATTACTCACATGTATAATAAATGTACATATATTAACACAAAATCATATATACTGTATATATACCCATATTAGGTTTTACAAGCTACAAATAATCCTTTTATTTATTTATTAAGGTGCATAAGTTTCTCACCACTGGTACGTGAAATCGTCCAACAGTTGCTGCAATGCCTATTGCTAGTGTGGAGCTGGACTGTCCTATTATGGCGTGGACTGAAGATGATTTGTTGCAGGACTGGTCATAAAGAAATCCTTTTTCATGCCCATTGAGTAATTCCAGTGCTATTTTTATAGACAGAGTTAAAGAGCGGCAGGAATCATATATTTTATAGCCCAGGGAAACATCAGGAAGAATCTCTGAACTATTATTTATTTCTTCAGCAGCAAAGATCATAGTTTGAGCAATCTGTAATACTCTTGGGTTCAGACTGTGGAGAAAATTAAGAAAATTAAGACAGAATTCACAACAGCAATAGTAATATTCCTGAAAATTCAACAAATGCTGAAATCATAAAGGATTACATGTTTATTTTTGTTTTACTTCTACAATTGCATCTATCACTATAAGCAACACAACAACAACAACAACAACAATAATAATAATAATAATAATAATAATAATAATAATAATCTTCATCCCTTTACCTTTCACATTTGGCATGTCCTGGGTCTACTTTGAAGGATGGATTTACAACAATGAAATCTTTATAAATTGACAGAATAGCTCCTATTGTAATGTCTCCATCCTTTGAAAACTGGGGAACTTCTTGTGTTCCATATGGAAGACAAATGGGCTTTTCAGCTCTTGAGAAAAGTGCAATTAGAATTATTCCAACAAACAGCAACATTGTGGATGTCTTTTCTTTCACAATGCCCACGTTCCAAATACTTAAAGTTCTTATATACAGTACTGATTCTCCTGCTTGACCTTGGATGAAGTCATGTGAAATCTCACAACAAAGCATCAATTCTCAGAGGTTTGTTTAGTGCTTGATCAGCCTGGGGAAAGAGAACAGAAAAACAGCAATCTTCCAGTAACAAGACACTAGGTGCTCACATTAAGCTTTTTTAATTAAAAGTCAAATTGTGATGCATCTGATTATTGGATATCTTGTTAGAGTTTAATAACAAAAAGCCTCTCCTTAAATATTTTTATACATTTTCAGACTCTTTATCTGTCTAAAACCAATTTCACACTTCAGGCTAAAGCTGGAATTTGTGTAGATGACTGTGGCATGATGGATAGTGCTCCTGCTTCCCTGCTCTTGGGCCCTGGGTTTGATTATCCAGGACAAGCTCTCACCTTTTGAGTGTTAAACAGCTTTCTGGTAATAGAGAGATGAAGTACAGTATATAGATAGTGTTGTTTATTTTAAGTGCTCTAGCTGCACTGTAGCTTTAGCTGGACTTTTTCAGCAGATCTGTGAGAGCGGGGGTGAAGATCATGGGCCCTACCTCCAGTCTCGCAATACAGATCAGCTTCTTAAAGTTACAGGTGTGGTGTCTGTGTCTTTTCATTTGAAGCTAACGTTGGAAACATAACAAGGATTTCCACCTGCATAACATTTCTGTCACGGACGTCCAAAGGGACTAACCGTGGGGAGCAGGAGAGCGGAAAAAGACCCATATGCGTAGCGGCGAGACGGGAAAAAGGCCCGGGCTCATAGCGCAAAGAGTTCAGGAGTGCCGTATAGAAACCTATGCCCTCAGGGAGCGGACATGGGGCGCCCTGGTGCTAGGCGGGTCTCAGGACATCCGAACG